TATATTTTATTGATTTCAGAGAAGAAGGAAGAGGGAGAGAGAGATAGAAACATCAATGATGAGAATCATGGATCGGCTGCCTCCTGCATGTCCCCTACTAGGGATCAAACCCGAAACCCGGGCATGTGCCCTTGACCGGAATCGAACCCGGGACCCTTCAGTCCACAGGCCGACGCTCTATCCACTGAGCCAACCAGCCAGGGCCCCAGCTTGTCCTTTATGCCGTGAGAGGACTTTTCCCACGAAGGCCCAGGGAAAGGGGGAGGGTTCATAAGAGCCGATGAAATGTCTGGCGTCCGTCCCAGATTTATCCACGGAAGGCTGTTTCCTTTCGTCCTCGTCCAATATTTAGGAAATTACCAGCGTGGCGATCAGAGAAATAGACGGTAAGTGACGTTGTTGCCGTCTTGATTTCATAATGACCGCTCAAGAGGTTTGTCTTGTTAACCCGTAGGAAAGTGGATTTCTGGAATTCAGGCTTCTTTCCTAAAACTCCAGCGACGGGTTTTAGTTGACATTATTTCATTCACTTCACAAGGATTTTTTTAAATATATTTTTATTGATTTCAGGGAGGAGAGAGAGAGAGAGAGAGAGAGAGAATCATGGATCAGCTGCCTCCTGCATGCCCCCTACTGGGGATCAAGCCAGCAACCTCGGCATGTGCCCTTGACCAGAATCGAACCCGGGACCCTTCAGCACAACGCTCTAGCCACTGAGCCAGACCAGCGAGGGCCATTTCACAAGTATTTATTGAGCATCTATATGGGCTGGGCACCATGCCAGGGGGTGGAAATTTAGCAATAAATAAATATGCAGCCACTGCCCTTGCGGAGAGAAGAGATGAGGAAACAGAATGTTAAGTTCAGCCAAAGTTATACTGCAAGTTTGAGCCCACAGAGGAAGTTCTATGTCTTAACAGGACCTGTTACACAATTTGCAAATGTGGTAAATTAAGTTATGGGGCCCCCTTGTCCAAGATTCACTAGGAATTTCAGGACATGGACAGCAGAACATGACATCAAACGCAAGGCCCTTCTTCTCAGGCCCACGCATCTGGATCATATATTAGAAATCCATTTCTGCCCTGGCCGGTTTGGCTCAGTGGATAGAGCGTCAGCCTGCAGACTGACGGGTCCCAGGTTCGATTCCGGTCAAGGGCACAGGCCCGTGTTGTGGGCTCGATCCCCAATGTGGGGCGTGCAGGAGGCAGCCGGTCCATGATTCTCTCTCATCATGGATGTTTCTCTCTCCCCCTCTCCCTCTCCCTTCCTCTCTGAAATCAATAAAAATATATATTTTTTTTAAATAACAGGGTTCTTCAAAAACACTGAACAAAGAAACCTGATCAGTCGGGCAGCTATGGACAGAGAAAGGGCAGCGAAGGGTGTACCGGACACACGGCTGTACGAGGGGACGGAGGGAGGCGTGAAGGAAGAGGCCACGCATCCCGGCTCAGCCCAACGCCACCTGAGTCTCGAGAGGAATTGCACGTTGAGGGTAAGCACCTGGCGACTCCCAGCAGGCACTGCCCTGCCGGCAGGTGCACGTGGTTCTAACGTCCCCGAGAGAGGGATCGGGCGCCCCCCGGCATGTATTGCAAAGGTCAAGGTGCTGGGAGTCAGGAGCCAGGTAGGTGCTGGGAGAGGCGGGGGCCCAGGAGCTGGCTCTTGGGGGAACAAGGCATAGACCCAAGGAAAACCCCTCCGCTGTGCGCGTGGGCCTTTTCCCTCCAAAGCGGGGCTGGAAGGTTCTGGACTGCCTGGGCCCCACGAGTCTTCACAGCCGGGCCACAGTCCCCTGTCATTCGAGATCCCTGGACGTCTGGGTGGCTGGAGAAGCCAGCTCCACACCAGGCCACAGGTCCACGGGGCACTGCCTAGACCAGCGGTTCTCAACCTGTGGGTCGCGACCCCTTTGGCGGTCGAACGACCCTTTCACAGGGGCCGCCTAAGACCATCCTGCGTATCAGATATTTACATGACGATTCATCACAGTAGCAACATGACAGTTATGAAGTAGCAACAAAAATAATATTATGGTTGGGTCACCACATGAGGACCTGTATCTAAAGGGCCAGAAGGTTGAGAACCACTGGCCTAGACTGTGCGGCTGTTTGTTGTTGTTGTAAATATGTCTTCTGATTTTTAGAGAGAGTGGAAGGGATGGGGAGAGACACAAAGAGAGAGAGAGACACATCGATGCGAGAGAGACACATCGATGGGTTGCCTCCCGCACGCACACCCCGACCAGGACCCGGGATCGAACAGGCAGCTCTTGGGTGCGCCGGCCGGCGCTCTAACCACTGAGCACACCAGCCAGGGCCCGAGACCAGCTTGGACCTGCGATTCGATACTAATCTTTATTGAGCACCTACGGTGTGCAAGGCGCAAGGCGGCCTCTGGGGCTGTGGGCGGGAGACCCGCAGATGGCCCAGCTGCCTCTGACAGCCCTCCCCCCTCCCCCGGGGGAGCTGAGTGGAGGAGAAGCCCCATCGATCTGTTTAACATGCAAATGTGACCGCTATTCTTCTCCGGGAAGCTTCATTACTCACAGCTCCCTTCTCT